CACAATTCTGAAACAAACTTTTTTTTTCGGAATTGTGTATAATGTTCCATAAAATATTGAATTTGTTATTTAACTATTCAAATTTAATAAAAGTTTTTTTAGTGTAATAAACAGAGTATTGCTGTTTGTAATCTGACAGAGAAGTTAATATAATTTTGAAATATACTAATATATTTTAAAATATTTTTGTATACGTATGATTGCATACACATATAGGGTATTTGAAACTTTTTGACATAGCCTGAAATGTAAAAGTAGATTTGAAAAATCTCAACAGAAAAGTTGTGTACAATTTTGCAACCTTTGCAATAGTTATTAAGATAGTAATTAGTTAATTTGAGCCAATAAAAGAGCGTGAGAAATGATAAACTCGACTCTGTAGGCGTGTATAAAACTATGCAATTTTTCAGTTGTAAAGAAAAATTGCTTACCTCGTACAGTCTCCTAGCAACGAGCGACATGTGGTACGGCTTCTCGCTATCAGCTGATATTGAATTATTGATTTTCTGAAAATTGTATGGTTTTATACACACCTACAAAATTTAGACCATCGCTTCCCATGTGCTCCATTAGTTCTTATTAATTAATTAATAACTTAATAAATATTGCGAATTTTGCAAAAAGGTACACGATTTTTCTGTTCTAAATGGCTCAATTTATTATACTTTTACACTTCGACTGTATCAAAAAATTTGAAACATTCTGTGTGTACAAGATGATCGATAATAACCGCATCACCTTTCATGGGCACAAAGAGCAAGTTGTATCATTTAGCGAGTTTCGCAAAATAATTAATAAGCTATTAATTTCTAAAGATCCGCGAGAATAAACGTGCGTCGTAAAGACAGCGTTTTGCGAGCTGACGGTGCGCAGCAACTCAGTGGGAGGAGTGATCTATAAACAGCAATGGTTATTAATAATATCTTTAGTATATAATAAATATATATTAATATATTTATTATTTATTTTTATTAAAAGCCGGGGGAACCGTACAAAATAAATTATTTATTAATTAATTAATAATTAATTCTTTATTTTCATTTAAAAACCAAATTTTCTCATTGTGTTGCCGCTCGCCTAGCAACCGTGAGCTGTCTCTTCACGCACGCTCTTTCGCGGATCTTTATAAATTAATTACTCATTAATTATTGCGAAACTCAAAAAATAGTAAAAGATTTCTCGACTTAATACAACTTGCTCTTCGTGATAATGAAAAGTGATGCAGTTATTACCGGATATTCTGTGTACATATGTAACTATTTTCTTAGAGATAAATGTGACGGAAAGTGACTGTTTTCTTAATGACAAGTGTTCTACTTTAAATCAATCTTATGTTAATTATTACAAACTTATACACTTAATGAAACTATAACAAAAGTAACTTCACTTGACTCAATAGATGATTAAGTCATGCTATCAAGAAAGCGATGATAATTTGGAACTCGCTGAAACTCAGGCATTCGAGCAATCGATAATCGATATGACCAATTTGAGAAACACGAGGCCGAGATATTTTCAGCATTTCTCACCTTCCTAGTGATAAAGTATGCAGATATCTTATAGCTTATAGAAACTTATTACAGTCTGCACACACGTACACACACGCACACATATACACACACAGTGATATATGCGCACAATGAAAAATTTTTATAATTTAAATATATTCTCACTTTCATATCTATGTACAAAATATTGAAAACCAATCGTGCATATCAATGCATATTCTCTTTCAGCTTCAAAATTGTTTGGAGTTACATTCAAACGAGTTTTTAAACAAGAATTTAAGTAGAGATTAGCTATATATTCTTTATATTTTCAAAAATTTTGAAGTTTTAAATTTCTATAAGATAATTAATTGTTAAATTAAATTTATATTAAACTAAATTTTGTATAAGGTAAAACAATAGAAGATCAAAATTGTTTAAATTACAAATTAAAAGAGCATCAAAACATATTTAACTCTACATAACTAATAACCAACATCTACGTAATATAGCCAAATTTATTTCATAATTCTATTTTGTATTGCATTTATGCATAAATGTAATGTAATTTAATTTAATTTATACTTTAGTTTGATTTTATTTCCGGTGTAAACTGGTTTTTTTACAGTGATCAAATATTTATATTGACTAAGAAAACAAGAGAAAAAGAGGGAGAGAGAGAGAGAAAGAAACAGAGAGACGTGTTATTATTTTGCTAAGATTAATTAGATTATATAATATAGAGAGAATCCAACCAAATGTAACATTGTTGTGGTTAATCTCTGCATAAAATATAATTCAATCAATTATCTTTTTTTATATAAATAATATTGAGATGTAACCATAAAGTACAAAAGAAATCAGTCGATCAAGAGAGTAAAAACTGAACTGATATATTTATAATAAAGTTTTATCTTCAGTCACAACACAGTTAAAAATATCAATTTTATAATATAAATTCTTGCACAGATAACAAAGATAGATAGAATAACAAACAACAGTCAGTAAATTGATTTATTTTAATAACAAAGTCAAGCATATTCCAAATATGTCGCGTGAGAGAGAGAGAGAGAGAGATGAAAAGTAATTTAAAATACGAATGGAACTTAGTTATGTACAATAATTTAATCGTTTGGAGAGCTTTTAGTTTCATTTTGAAAGCAGCTATTTGAAGTTCTGTGTCAACGAAGCTGGACTTTGTTCTCTTTCTCTCTCTCTGTGAAACAATATAGCGATATTAATTGTTACTAGTCTCCAACATAGGAAACAAGAAATACTGATCTTTTGTAATTCAGTTCTGCCGGCAGTACTGGCAAATATTCTTGCAATTTCATAGCAGTAAAGGTATGTTCGTAATATAGGCGGTCCGTTATATTGACATTTTCATATCTATCCCTTGTAGTGATTTTAGTTTCTCTTTCAAAAACGCACGTACGCTGTATATACTTCGATTCGTGCACGAATGTAATCATAGACATCACGTAATGAAGTTATCAAATGGATTTACCACAATTAAATATTATAAAACAATGAAAGAAAATCTTTTCTGTATAAAACTGAATTTTTTTCTGACGTTTACAATGAAACAGATTGACTTGTGAATAAACTGTGAAATTATTATCATGTACATTTTTTTATGCAATTATTCAAAATATACATTTCAAATGCGTATCAGTTGAAACATTAAAAAAGATCGAGGTTTTATACGGTTATTTTATTTTTGGTGAGAGATATGTTAAAATATTTTTTTTGCTATCTCTCGATTTCATACATTCGTCAAAACATCTTTCAACAAATACTCTGTATATCTCTGAAACGAAAAACCTTAAATATTTCACTAAAAACAAATTGGAAATATTTTTTTTCAATTTACATGTTCTAAATTTGCTATTGGTAAGCTTGAGATTGAGTTACTCAAATTTACATTCAACGTTCATGTAATAAAAAAATTAAATTTTATCTGTCGTTAGTTACATTCAAGCAAATTAAAGTGCTCTTGCTTCATTATAGTATGAAACACATTTTTATTCGACTCAACTGGTAAGTGAAAATAACCATTCGCGATATACATGTATATATATCCAAACGATATGTTCGCAATAGGTCGCGAAAATTTGCAATCGCATGTCGGAAATAACGTCGCGCTATTCCGTTCCCATGTGTGAATCCAAAAATGCAAAATTTCACGGATCGTTACACGCAGAAATCATAGTAAATGCGGGCAGTCGGAAAAGAACGAGGGTTATATCGCGTTCCGAAGAATGCAATATCCGTTTAAAGGAAATTTGTTATCAGCGTGACTGCAACGCATGCGAATGCGTCGTAATTCTTGCAAATCAAGAATCGATACTGGCCAACTATCGGTGGGAGAGGGCAAGTGAAGCACCGGTGTTCGTTATACGCAAGGTGTGTCGCAGACCTATGACACTATTATTCTGTCAGCACAAGCGAAAATCACAGAAAAATGGCAACGATAGTGTCAAATATCGAATTGTTAAATTTGAAACTTTCAAACGTACAAATCATTGTAAACAACAAGCAATTTAACGAACTGGTGCTGCAGGTTTTAAAGATAATAACATTTTAGAAAATATTTGGCAGACTGATTTTTAATAGAGCGAGTTATGCGTGAGAGTTAGGTACGTTCGAGTGAGAAATTGTCGTTTTAGGTTCAAAGAACGAAACCGACACAAATTATGTATTCCGTCTTTATCGGATATTGCGAAATCGATATATATATATATATGTCGATATCTTATATCTGTTTCTCGTAGCAATGCTGCCATATTGCGTTTTATACTACAGGATTATCGGGTTCAACACTAGGTGAAGATAACCAAAAGATATATAACGCACGCATAATCTGCAATGAAAAAAAAATTGAATTATGCATCAGAAAACATGAAACGGCAGAATTCGATTTAACATTAAATGTTACATATATATATAAGAAAAGAACATTACGAGGGGGAGGGAAAGAAAAATTGTAAAATTCCTTCCACGCGACGTGAAGCAACTTTTCCTACACAGGATCGGATTCTAAACCATATTCGCAATTTTTTGTGTGCGCACACATGCAATCGATCTGTTTTCATCACGTATTTTTATGTCTTAGAATATACATATATATATAACATTTCCTCCATTTATTAATGTTCTGGCGACAACGTATAGAGCGAAGTAAGACGAAGGAAGCTGAACTCGCATCCATCTAAGGACGCGGAAAACGTCAGTTACCTGAAGTTCGACAAACTTTGTTCGTTAGACAAATAGCAGTTACGAACGGTGTTGCTATTGCTAAGAGCTAGTTAAACTACAGTAAAAATAGACGTTAGTTTCCACTACTAATCCAATCTCGATAAATAGCGTTGACGTTCACACGCTGCCGGTCGGTCTCTCAGGAGATTTCGTATCCTCCTGATAGGGCAAGACGGGACTTGTTCAAGCGTAGGAAGATCCTGTCTTATCCAACTCTGAGGTTTAATCGCAAAATGTTTGATTTATCGTTTGCAGAGGCACCAGCGGTATCGACATCGATCTACGTCGAGTAGACATAGATCAGTGCCCGTTGCCGGCGGGATCCACGCAGTTGAACATATTCGCCGCCAGCGACAAGTGCAAAAAGCGCACCACCGAGGTAATGCTAATTTCTCGCTTTGTCGTTCTATATTTTACGGGATCAATGTTTCCCATGAGTGTCCTTTCTGTGTCAGACACGCACCAAACGAAACAAAAAAAACCGTTCGGGAGAATCCCGCGGAGAAGTTTTTCCGCGTGGCAATCGGCTCTATTTGTAAATGCCGCTCTCGCCCCTGCCGCGCAATACACACGTTGGTGCTTCCCAGCTTCCGTCACGCAGAAAAGCCCTACGTGCTCGCGCGGCAAGTTTTTACTTCTCTCGTAATAACCGCGTGCTTTATCGACGTGTTTTACCTTTTCATCCTGTGAAGCTCGCAAGAAAATACGCGGATCACGAAGGGTTTAAAAATGTTTGGGTTAAATTCCTCTTTGTCTCTTTCTTTCTCTATCTGTCTATTTCTCTCTCTCTCTTTCTCTCTCTCTCTCTCTCTCTCTCTTTTTACAAAACGCTTAAATATTCGAATATTCTGTTCTCTGCGTAGAATAATATTTAAATTTTTATATTGTGAGTCACGTACTTTCCCTCACAGTCACCGATTTCACGGCAAGCTATTGCTGTAGCAAAGGTCTGAATTTTTCGTTAACTTTTGTTTGTAATGTTTTTACATTTTCCGCATTGTAGATTTTCAACGATTTCTAAGTAAAATAAGTTTTTTTGGATCAGCTAAAACGCGCTACGTTTGTGTTCGACGTGTTACAAGCGCGCGCAAATCAAAGCTAAAACAAAACTCAAGTTAGAAACTTTTCTCAAAAGGTATCTCTATTACACTTTTCTTTTTCTTTCTTCTTTCTTTCAACCGGAAAATCCGTGTGGATCGATATTCGCATATCTTGAAGTAATCTCGAAGTATTGTTGACACTTTTCCGCGATGCTGATTGGTTCGCGGTTATGTATTGGTGGTGTGAGACATATATCGGAGTTTTATTGTGTATATGCGTATGTAAAATGCACACGGTGCGAAATCTCGAGCGAGGTTTCCGTATTATTTGTTTTGTACGGCTCGAGCTGCTACATAGAATTGGTGTAAAATTACGAACGCAATGTCAATAAAAACGCTTACAAATGCAATGAATACGCCAAGAGAGTAAAATGAAGAGAGAGAATAAAAAGAAGCAATTGCCTGGAATCGGAGTAAATAGTAATAAAAAATACTAAAAAAACGTGAAAGAAATATCGGTTTTGAAAGAAAAAATGAAGAACGTTTAAAAATGGGAAGAAGCAAAACAAAAGAAAATTAATTTGCAGAAACAATTAAACGAGTCGTAGAAATGTGTAATTTTGTTTGACGCGGTATGTATACGTGTCAGATACATAAAATCAATAGTGCTCGTGTCTGTGGTGTGACATGTAAAAAAAGCATCCCTTGTGTAACTTCTTTTTAAACGTTCGATTATTTCTCAATAAATACTTCTTCTGTGTATGAAAAAAATATAATATAAGTGTATGATTATATAGTTTCTGGAAATATGTATAATACAAAAAACATAACCAGGAAGAGGAGAGAATGAGAAAAAGAGAGAGAAGAAGATTGGGAAAGAATGTATTTTGATAATATTTTAATATTAGAAGTAAGCGGCGGAAACAAAAGTCCGAGAGTAAGATTGGAATGTGTGTATAGGTAAGGAAGTTTAGATTGTAAAGTAGCTCGCACGTTAGTGCACAAGTTTAGTGTGTAAGGTAACGAGTAAGATAGTGCGTAAGATAATTATAAGAAAATTTTCGTATATAAATTATAAGGAAAGGGATTTTTTTTATCCCAAGAAGATTCAATAAATTTTTATCTATTTATGTGTATCTATATAGTTACCATTAGTAACGGAAAAGTTAGATATACCTATGAATTGATAAGATATATGATTGATTGTTTTGTGTCTTTTTTGTTTGCAGTGCATCGCCATTTCCGGCCTGGGTTTTCGTCGCGGAAGTTACCGATGCGTGTGCAAACGAGGTTTCTACTACCCGGACACGAAATCGGACAAGAGGTATTACAATGGCACGGTCGTAGAGGAAGAATACGAGAAATTAATGATGGTAAGTGGTTTATAAAGCTGTACACAGAGCTTCCATCCGCTTTTTTACATTCCTCAGAACAACTGTGTCGTTTGATGATTCGCATTAACGTTTTTAATATTCAAGAATTTCCTGTATGTAATAATAACGACTTTTATTATAGAAACTGATGTTATTGTATTATAATATGGTACAAATGTTTTTCGCGTCAGATGACATTCGAGCAAATGTTTGTCGTTTTAACAGTTTCTTTGGCAAATTTCAAGATCGATTTTGTCCTAATTGAAGTTCACACAGTTAATCAAAGAATCTGTCAGTCAAATTTCACTGATGGTGGAAGTGAAACCCTTTATCATATCTGTATCGACTATCAATTTGTGAATATCTACAGAGAATTGATTGTCGATTAAATCGACAATCAATTTATTATTTTCCATCTATATAGTTCCATTTATATATAGGTATATAGTTGTACATATAGTTCTTCACTGTCAATATTTGTTCAATCTTTCAAGATCCTTAAAAAACATTTTTTTATTTACAATACAAAACATCAACTTTTTACTAGTTCTATTACTAGTTTATTTGGTTTATTTTTTCTATTACTAGTTTGGTTGATGAAAACTTTTAATAAAAAACTCGGAACATTTTTAATGTTATTAACGTTAATTTTTAATGTGTTTATATTTTTTAATGAACAACTCAATAAAAATAAGTTAAATTTAAAAAGTATATTGTTTGTAGGAGAACTTTATTTAAACTTAATTGTGTTTGTTTAATTACGAATTTTATCTGAATTTATGCGCAGAAAAAAATATATTATATTTTTTCACATTATACATATTCCCAAGAACTAAGTTCGTGCGTATATTATTATCGCGTACAAAAATTATTTTAACACAATTTTCACGTGACAGTCAGTTGTTACGCTCATATAGCATTCAGTTCCCCATTCAGTTTCAAAAATAGAATTGCGAAACGAAAAAAATTGTCGCGAGAGCGCAATTAAATCGTTCTGGCGAGCGGTTGCGACATTACGCGCGCGTCGTAACATGCGTTATCGTACATTCTATTACGTGGGAGATGCGAGTTTTTTTTCCAGCACAGTTTTCACGCCCGTCGGACCAGCCGTCACTTCTGCGATCGCAGAAGCAAAATGGATATCGACAGCAAAATACGCGATGGCATCTATTGTCACCGCGAGTTACGTATCTTTTGTGATTTGACGGGCATTTCCATCGTTGCGCGACGACGGTAAAACCATTTTCCCAGTCGCGCCCTTCAGTAGTCGGCACGAGCGTTTGTAACCGCAACGGTTACAATGGGTGACATCTCTTCGCCGAATATCCTTAATAACCAGAATTCCGGATATTAACGACGTGTCATCTTTTTTATTTTCGGTGAACACCGGCGGACCGGTGCTGATGTGCGCATTTTGTCGACTGTGAGAGAACGTCAAAAAGAGGAAGCGCAGAAATTATTACTCTTTACACTTTTGTATAGAGTACTCGCAAAAATAATGAGAAATGAAAGAATCTCTCTCATTTTTCAGTCTTTTGTGCGAGATAATGTTTATATATATATTGCATGTCGAGATAACTAGAACTTGTGATGTAACTTTTGTAATAATTATAAAATTAAAAAACTTTACAATTTATATATTTCCTCTTTTTAAAAAGACAAAGATTCTCTTCGCTCCGACGTTTAGTTTTCTCGTGACTGATATTGAAGGGCAGCGTTTTGCGGACATTTTGGATTTCTCCTAGATGAGATTTGCATTTCACCGGGTTTTTTCCCGTAGAAAAATAATTTCACGTTTGTCAACAGGGTGAAAAGAGCCAATATGCCGAGAGCGGGGTGTTCGAATGCCTTCCGTGCGCCGAAGGGTGCGAGTTCTGCGATGACGGCTCGCCTTGCGTCGTATCTCTGAATTGGCTAATGCGGACGGCGATACTGATCCTGGAGTGCTGCATTATCGCTTGCCTGCCAGCCGTCGCTCTTTTCACTTGGAAATACGGCCACGTGAAGGTAAAACTCACATATACAAACTTTTTCACGGTAAAGTTTTTCAAAGTATGAATGACAGAGTAGCGACTTTTACTTACGGAAAACAGTACAGACGTTTTGCAACTAGGCGCTTTCACAAATAGGGTAACAACGCGCTGTGTGCAAGCGTCCTTCACTCCGTTAATTACGCGCTTCATATTTCAGTAAACAAACTGAAATCCGTGAAGAGAAATCCCTGGATTAATATTAGCGCGCTTTTAATCTTGTCTGACCAAAGTAATCTGTTTTGTAATACTTTGACGCAACTACTACTGCTTGATTAACAAACGGATTTGCATCTTCTCTTTCAAAGAAGGAAAGCGTAACAACAAAATATATTCGTACTTTTTTAATGATTAAAGATATTTAAACGATATAATGTGATAGCATCGTCGTGTCGCAAAGAAAATAAATAAAACTTCGTTCAGAAAAAGTGAAAGAAGTGAAACAATAAGTTTTTCAACAAACTTCTTAATCCAGTCTCTTAAATACTTTTTTAATGTAAACAAGCATAACATACTTTTTACACGTAGTACAATGTTTTTAGTTATGTTTGTTGTCGCGGTAATGAAGCAAACAACTTTCGTCGGATGATGTTGCAATTGTGTGAGAAACGTAATTCGTAGATTTGGACGGTTATCGAATATTGAAATGGTGTAATCCGGGAATTTTGAACTCATTTAACACGTTCGGACTAACTCATTTGCATAAGAGGATATTTGAACGACACGACAAAAACTCGGAAGTAGTGTCGGTGTCGCATTACGGGTAATCTTAATAGCCGATCGGATAAATTGAGGTTAACACGTTAATCTTGTTCAGCTTAGATCACAGGTTCCGATATCGCGCGTGATTCGAAAGGCTCTTATCCCGGATGTGTAAAGCTTCCGGATTGTGTGCAAGGGTCTCTTTAAACGTTGTCTGATGAATGAGTGGCCCGCCGCGATCCTAATAATTATGTCACGACGCCTGTATATTTCATGGTTGTACTCGTGTCATTCGAAAATTATTTGCATCGTGTAGCGTAAATAATCATGTACGTTTATTGCAATTTTATGTATTAAAAAATTCATGAATAAAAAAAATTATTAATTATTTGTTGTTATTCATATAAAAAGAGTTGCTCGTGAAATGAAATTTCTACGATACGTATAATTCGAATGAATAAATATGTAGACACGTAAAAAGTTTTTACATCCGGTTTTTGTATTCCTATATAAAAAAGGGCATTTGGACGAGAAGTGCGCGTTTTGGGAGCCGAATGTATCGCATCTGTTGTTGCCTCTTTTCCGCGTTGCCAATTAGTTGGTTGGTTGATCGAGTCGAATCGAATCGGTGAGATCGAGAGAGTAAATAATGAGAAAAGCGATTTTGTGACAGGTCATCGTATATGTAGAGAAAATTAAAAACGTAACTAAAGTCACGTGACAGGAAAGAGTAGAAAAACAACACGTAAAAATAACGTGACTGTAATTTATATTATATATAACATTAAATAATACATATTATACATATAATTTATTATATATTTATAATATTATACTTTATATTGTATTATATGTATTATATACATACTACAGTAATGTAACTGACCTCGGCCGCGCGGCCTTGGCGGGGTCATTGACCTCGGCCGCGCGGCCTTGGCGGGGAGGGTCACTGACCTCGGCCGCGCGGCCTTGGCGGGGTCATTGACCTCGGCCGCGCGGCCTTGGCGGGGAGGGTCACTGACCTCGGCCGCGCGGCCTTGCCGGGTCATTGACCTCGGCCGCGCGGCCTTGGCGGGGTCACTGACCGCGGCCGCGCGACCTGGAAGGGGTTACTGATGTGTGTGTGTATGTATGTGTATTATATATAGATATAGGATATTATCTATAATATATGTATATTATATATAATATATGTATATGTATAATATTTTTTAATTTTTATGCGTTATTTTTGACATCTCTCGTAGGTGTATTACATAGTTTATAAGATGTATATATTAGCTGTCATCGCGGTGACAGGTTGTATTTCACTGATGCAACACATGAAAATGAAAATAATAATAGCGTGCGCGTAGCGCGCGCTTGTATTATGCTAGGTTACGTTAAATTCTCTATCAATCAAGTGTTTATTTCGCAGTTTTATTTTTTTCTCGTTACCAGCTGTTCAAATACTATTATGTACCATATGAAGCGAATATTGCGAAGTCCTTTTGACCACGAGGTGTTAATTAGACCTTCTGAACTTCCGACACCTTCGTTCGTCGGAGCCCTTGTTCTCGCGTTGGTCTCGCGTGCGGGTGAAATGCCACCTCGGCCTTTGCCTTTGCGAGAGCGAAGCGCAGGACTGCCTTTCGGCTTGTCCGAATATCAAAGAGGCACTCTACGATCCGGCACTAATTAACGCAATAACAGCCCGCAGCGAATTTCCTGGAATTTTTGCATTAGCTTCGGAATTCTGTCATTTGAAAAGTAGGTGCGACTTTTGAATTCAACATCGCTGAAGGGTATGAATGAGAGCAAGTGTTTGCGAAATAATGCGAAAAATCTATAAAAACTTTTATTTAACGCTAATGTTATTATTTAATATCGACGCAACGTTTGTTTTCGCGTATATGTGTATAATTATTTTTATATTTGTTTTGTTTTATTGTTATATTGTAGTTTAAAAGTTTTGATTGCCGTCTAAACACATATTTGACGAAGCTCTGGTAATAATTTGATATTTAAACAATTGTAATTTGTAACTTTTTATCGCGTTTCTGAACTGTAGCAGAATGATATAAATATACATATGAAAAACCGCAAGTATAAATAATTCCGTACATAAAATCTTCCGCTTTCATGAGCGCAATACTGCGAAAAAGCAACATGAATGATCCTCGCGAGAATTACGCTTTAATTGAAAGTGGCGAGTAGCTAAAAGGAGAACGAGAAGATGTTATTAGTGGCCGAGATTCTCACACGGTGCGCGGCGCGTTTTAAATGATAATTTTGCGGAATTCGCAACGAATGGGTTACGTTGAATCTCGCATAGAAAAGCGGCCAGATTTTCTACGGCGCACTGTCACCGTAATCCCAAAATTGGTGACGGCGAACCGTAGCCGCACGCGCGAAATGGGATTCCATACCGCGCTCTCCAGCCTCTTGATTTTCTTCAGGATAGAATTCGAGCTTGAAACACGCGACATGTTCTGAGAATCCTTCGCATTAAAATCGCATGGAGTTACCGTAAGCTCTCGTGAAAAACGATCTGGCGCGGGATAAAGCATCGGGTTGATCAAAAAGTTCGCGTCCCTACGTTTCGTTTTTTTTTTTGTATTAGCGAAACGAAAGAAACGAACAAGTGGATTATTACATTGCAGGAACGAATTTATCTCTTTCTCTTTGTTTTTTTTTATACGCTTACATCCCACACACAACGTCCATTAGACGTCTAATGGACGTCCATAGTTTCGTGTGACGTCTAATGAACATCTAATGGAAGTTTGTACAGGATGTTGTGTGTGAGACGTGCATCTATATATAACTGAAGAAGATTACAATTTTTTTTAAAACGAATTACAAAGTAATCCAAAATTATCAGAACAATAGTCCGTGTGTTCTCTATCTCTTTGCCCATTTGCTGCAAATTAAAGACAACAATTTAAAGTTTAATTACGTATATAATTGAAGTTATATGGGTTTTAATTAGATTTAGATGACAAGACAAAGAGGAGAACGGAATATAATCGTCGTTTTCCTACTTGTGCTCCTGGCTCCATTAATAAATCTGAGTTGGAAGATAAACGGGCGAACCAAGGCAAATTCGGTCATTTGATGTTGTTCCGCAAGCATCGAGTCGCATATTCGAGTCACGATTTACAAGCTTAATATCGCGGCGTAATCTGTCTTATGAAGTGGCAGATGCTATACACTTATGCACGCGCACCCATATGCATTCATATATGTCGAATAGAGTGTGTGTATATCCTACTAGTCGTAATAATCGTCCGTGTTCGCGGATATGGCGTGGATTATCTCGAAATCAGAATAATAGAACTCATGTGTATTATTACGTCTCACGCACACATAGAATTCATGTTACTGTCCTATATAACGAGAGAAGCTTTCACGAGAGTTGTTTCCGAGAAACAAGAGTCTGTACCATTTCAGATTCCCTTAGGAAAATCTCAAAGTACATGAGAAATGGAATCCCTTCATATTGTGTGATAATAAAGTAATAATAGATCGCGATGTGTAATTCGACAACCATAAATTTTCACGTAACATCACAAAATTCTCTCGGGGCTTTACCCGTTTCATTCTCCGAAATCAATCCGTCGTAAATTGCTTCTTAACGATATCCTGACCGCGATGTATTGTTATGAACTCATGTTGCAAGTTGCATCTCCCCGATAGTCTGCTCAAGTGATCACTCAAGTTCGTACAACAATAATACCTCCTACAAGTTTATGCCGTAAATTGCACGAGTCTCGCTCGTGCCATTGTATTCGTTACTCGCGTTAACCAAATGTACTTTTGCGGTTAAAAAGTTGATCCTTTGAAATTCAGGTTGTTTAAATTTCTAATTGCCTCAAAACTTTGAGAGTCATTAATGCCAAAAAAGAAAGAGAGAAAAAAAAAGTAAAAAGGATTATTCTTGTAATTAATCTGTAATAATATGCGGTTGAAAAAAAAAAAAAAACGAATTTTAAAGAGTTCTTACGGTTGCGTAACTTTTTAAAACGGCGAAGCTTCTCAACGTAACGAAGTAATTGTTTTTCGTTGGAAATCTTGTTGCGATATGTTCATCTCTCGAAAAAGTTGCTGAACTGCTCGTCCTTCCGAACTTATCGCTTTGGTAATTCGTGTAAATCGTCTTTCTCCTTTCGCGGGAAAGGAAACAGCACTTACCGCTCGTAATAGCTTATGTAATTTCCCGAGAGAGGGTTAAGAGCTTTTTTCTCTCTCTTTCTCTTTTTGTATTTAGTAATTTAGTTTTTTTTTTTTTTTTTTTGAAATTGTCAGCGACTCAAGATGGAACACGGGTGCAAAACGGGATGGAACGGAAGCAACAAATAAGTCCGTTTCTGCGGTGCGCGAATGAAACAGTCAGGACACGCGAACGGGAAATTAGCTTTGTGTGTTGCAGGGGACGAAAGTTTAACTCACTTTATTCGCTATTATTCTCTCTCCTAGTATTCGTCCTGCGACGGATTTTGCGGACTTTCTCATCGCGATGTGCTCTCGCGACCTTTACTTCTACGGCTACGTTTCTTGCATATTGTATGATGAAAGTACGAATGAATGAAACAAATAACTTGTAACTCGCCATCAACTTTAGAATTCAGTCGCGCTGATCGTAATAACACGCTTGAAATCTGCGCTTAAAATGTTCCGCCGTTCTTTGCGGTCTGCTTATTTAAATATTATCGCGCGTTAGTATAGCATCTGCTACATTTATTGTGTATCGCACACACAAGGTGTTTCATCATCATTAGTCATCTATCTTTCTTCAACGTTATATAACGTGGAATTTACATTAAGCAATTCATGATAAAACTGTCGGCTGTAATTTTGTGGCAAACACGAAAGCAAGTTAACGCGAGAATTAAAAATGTCTTGTAAACCACGCGTATTTTATCGAAGTAAATATGTTATTGTGTTGTAAACAGAATCGACTGAAATGAGCAGCAAGGGGGGTGTACCCTTGGACTATGCGACCCCATTTCATTTCATGTGCGGCAAACGTGTGTATTTTATAAACGCGAGCACGCGGAGCACAATATGCGGGAAAGCAGCTGGCAATATAAATAAAGCATTTTCACAGAGGAAAAGAAGATTATTTTAAATAATATATACCTAACGCGCAGAGAGAATGTGACAGTGAGAAATTCCATGCATTGGTAATACCGAATACGCGATTATATACAGCCAAACAAATTTCACTCTTACAAATAATTCAAAAGCGAAATTAAATGATAATGATCCGATTCGTGACAGCGCAGTAACATAAAATTCTAAAAAAAAAAAAAAAGAAAATAAAAAGATAGAAAATCAATAAAATATCCTCAAATATCTAAACACAAAAGAATATATTTTTAAAACCTCCCAAACCTCTAATAAGATATTTATCTCTACTGCGTGTTAACATATAAAATAAACACAATCCCACATGATAATCTATGTGTTTAAAGCCGGAAAAAGACTATAAAATCGATCATCCGTAATTTTTGTTGTGCTTGTTGTTTGGTCTCTGACGAGAAAAAAGCGAGCGCTCTTCCGCCCGCTGCTTCCGCCGACGCTAATTTTATTTACGCGTTTTCGGTTTTCGGCTGCCATAAAGCGCGAACAAACGCCAGGAACTGGCGCGTGAATGAACGAGCGAAATGATTTGTTACAGGTGGTGCGAGCGGCCAGTCCGGTTTTGTTGCGCGTGATTGTTCTCGGCGCCTTCTTCATATACTGCACAGTAAGTACGAGCGAGCCGCAGTTGCACGTCGGCGTTTTCCCCCGTACGTGTTTCATATTCATGAGGGTTGCAAGCCTCGCCCGAGTCCGATAACAAAGCTGTCTCACGTATGTGTCGCGCTGCGCAGAAACGAGGCCGCAGCCTCTCTGCGCCGACTGCAATCGCATCTGTTGTGACTACTACCTACCTAATGTATGCACGCGCCCCGTACGCCAATTATGATAACACATAATTCCCCGTATCGGTGCTCGCATCGGTCACGAGTGTACATACATACATATATTCGCCAGTTAATGACCTTCATGCTTTCCTAATTAAAGCGGATCTATCGGATATATCATTCGTTATATAGCCGCGTTACGCTTTAATCCGATGAAGTTTTTATGAGAATTATATTATAATCATCTTGCTAATTGGCGGTAATTCGAGTTTTTCGAGATATTTGATTTCCAGAACGTGTATTTAATATCGGAAATAATAGAGTTGTTTTGTTACGGTATATTCAATATTTTTACAATGAAAATCGTTAATTAATTAAATTTCTCTCAATAACTCAACAAATCTTTGTGATCATTCATGAGAAACAGTTTGAATTGTGTCAACAATATCGGAACTGACGGAAATGTTTGTTATAATGCGAAATTGTGTGTGTTTGCGTTTGGTTGTTATTAGATGAAGCATGTTTCTGTAATATGACGAAGGCTCTCTCTCTCTCTCTCTCACACACACTTTCTCTTTCTCTCTCTTTCTCTGCTATCAGTCACGTAAATCATAAAATAATTTCGGATGTCTGATTCTAGCGTGTATTCTGGATTTTGATTCCTACTGACAGTGTAATACATATTCCACGCACGTTCTCACGTGATATATCGGGTTGATAGCAGAGAATTTCTATCACATTTCACAAACCTGCTTTATCGAATTCGGCACCATTCCTTGAACGAAGTCATTTGTATGAGTTTTTTTGAATCTGAGTCACTCATGTACATTCAACCTCCAATTTTCTCTTTTCTGTTTTTTTTTTTTGCAACAAAACTTTCGAAATATCTGCTTGCGACACATCGACAGCATTTTACTTAAACAATTAATTTTACATCAGGCGCTCGTACACGCGATATTTAGCACGCTCATCCCCCATCAGTTAATAATTGTTTATTTATAATAACGCGTTCGAACAAGCTTCGTTATTTCGCTGAGTAATTATTCGATAATAAACTTCAAATTGTTGTAATTAGGCAGAAACTAGTTCAAACACTTAGTGTTTACGGAAAATGTTTGTGCAGCGAGGTGACTGTGTGTACATGACACCATATATATGATACCGTATCGCATAAAGTGCATTAAACATACACATAAGATTACAGAATTTCCTTCTGAAAAGATCAGGTGGGATGGCAAATATGTTCTTAGCAAATTCTGCAAAATTATATGTTGTCGGATCAACAACTGCAATCAAAGTTAACACACACACACACACACCACATATATATGCATGTATGTAATTTGGCGTGAGTTCGTTGAACATGACGTCATTTTATCCCCCAAAATCTCTGTCTGTGAAACACTCCGAGTACAGAGTTAAATATTTGAGCTTTTGGACATTTTTGAGTTTCAAGTGTGATCGTGTGTCAGTGATGTGAGAGAGAAATAGCGGTGTGATTTTTCTCCCGGTCAGGTAATAGCTCAGCCGTGTGAAAGTGTTAGGTATCAACGTGCGGCAAACGTAACTCCAGTGCTCCGAATAGAGACTTTGTTCTTCTCGCAGGAAAGTAACGTGCCTACGTAATGTTTGCTCTTACGAGGTACGAACTCTCTCTCGGATGGCTTCGCTTAAACCTAAAGTACTATTCTTAATGGTACGTCATTTACCTCACTAACGGAGGTACATTTTCCGTATCTCTTACTAAATTTGAGCATTATATCTCGACGAGCGAGAACCCGTCGCGCTAAATCGTGTTGTACATACACGACGCGACTCGGAAATAAACTGCCAATGAAGTTTGCTATGCGTGCGAGCCGCTTGTAATTTCTTTTTTATTCCGTCGTTTCCTTTCTCTCCGACCCATGTTAAATAAACTGTTTCACGACTCTTTATAATATTTTATAAACCAACGCGCTATCATCGAGCGAGTTTTAATTTCTCAAACGTAAAAAAGAAATAACATAGAATACTTCATATTTTTGTAATATATATATATATATATATATATATATATATATATATATATATATATATATTTCAGTGCGATTCTTTTCTGTTCGTTTTCTCTTTTTTATTGCGAAAACATTATCGTTATTTTTCCAAGAATTACAACTTGTCTGTAAGTCTGCGTCGAAATTTATATGGTAGATTCATGTTGGAGCGCTCGCGTTACACAAGAGAAAAATCGCTTGAAAGTGCTTGTTCGGCACAAATTCTTTTTTTTTTT